GCAAACACCGGGGGGGGGCGGGGGGGTGCAAAACTTAAGTGGTGGTGTTGGTGTGGTGTTCGGACTTCCTTACCACAGGTGTATATGGCTTCACGCACTTCGCAATGCCGACAACCGCTCGCGCCGTCGCTTGCGCTACTGCCCTTGTTTCAAAGGTTAGCGATCCACACTGCGCGCTGGTTCTTGGAGCGTCAAAAGTCACGCCCCGCGGTGCTCCACAACTTGCTGTGTCTTTTTGTTGCTTTGTTGCTTTGTTGCTTCATTCGATCGTATCTTGTCCTTGTTTGCAGCTATGAATGGCCCCACTTCCACCTACGCGCTTACCCGCTGCCACTATAACCGCCCCGAGCCTAGATAGGTGAGGGTTAGGGGTCGGATTAGGCCACGGTGTAGTGATTTGTGACTCTCAACCAAAGAAGGGACGCTGTCGTTGTGCGTATCAGATGTTTCTGCGCCGCCATCCTTCTGTCGTTCGGTGGGTGCACTACGCCCAACGCGTGTCAACAAAGGGATTCCTGCCGGCACAAGCAGTACGGAGGATGCCGCGTCGCCACCGTTCTACCTATTTCCTATCCTTCGCCTTGCTCCACCAGCATTTTTCCACACCCCGAATCTCGGGAGTCACCTGGGGGCTGCGGCTGGGCTCGGCCCGGAGGGTCTGGTACCGGCGCGTGCTGTTGACGTGGTGGTCCCCGTGCCTCTGGAGCTTGAACAGCACCATGTTGGTCAGCCGGTGGGGAGCGTCCCAGCTGTGCTCGAACCCGACCGGCTCCGTCTTCCCCTGCTCATCTCGCTTGCGCTCAAGCTGCTTCCATCCATCCATTCATCCATCCATCGACAAACCGTTTCGCAAACCAGGCGAGCCGCAATGGAATCGATAGGAAAAGCATGGGGTTTGGAGGGGGGCGGTGGCAAGCGTGCGATGGGGATGGGGGCGTTGTGCTCATACTTTCTCTGCCAAGCGCTTGAGTGAGGCAAGCTCAAACCTGCATGCCAACAACATGCTCTCGTTCCTGCCACCGCGTTCGGCAACGCTCTCCATTCACTGTATGTCCCGTCCCCCGGGTAAGTTATCATTCCAGATGCGGTGAGTACGTACATACATACCGCGAATCACCACCCTTTCCGTCCATCTGGTCATCAGGCCAAGCGAGCAAAGTGTGCACATGGTTAAGACTTGGATCACCGCCGCTGCCAGGGAGCTACAAACTGTACACCGCCCCCAACAAGAAGGGCCTCCAGTGCTCTTGGGGGTCTCACCCCGTAGTGTTCGACGTAGTTGACCTTTGGGGACGGCGGGTGTGGTTGTGGACGGCAAGAGCATGAGAACATGCACGGCCCCATGTCGTAACGTGCGCCATCGCCAACGTAGCCAAGGAGCGAAAAGAGGACGCGGGTGTGAGTGCGACAACGACCAGCGAGTGGCAGGAGACGGGGAAATTCAACTGCGGAGGAACCAATACTACCTTGGGTCATGAAAAATCGACGGCACTCCCAACGCACAACAGGAAAGCAGGCTCGCAATCGAACTGCTCACGGGGGACACGACCACTTCTCCCCCTCCCTTCCTCTCTTTCTACCTATCGCTCTCTCTCGGTCGAAACCAAGGCTTTCCGATGATGACTCCCGACACGCTTTCATCCCGTCGTCCCAGCCACCGCCTAGTCTAGTGATGACGCACCGACTCGAAGAAGAAGATTCCGATCAAGCTCTGTCCCACGAACAGCGGGACGGTCAGAGGGCCGAACATCGCGGTCAGGAGGGCGCACAGGCACGATGAGGCTACCCAGTACCTGCCACATGTCACGCGCCCACACGCCAAGCGTTTTAGCCGCGAGAAGCGGGAGGCGGCACAATGAGCCACAATCCCCCGAGAAAGCGCTGAAGGTGGATGAGGAAGCGCTGAAGGGGTCGGTTTGTGGCGTTGAGGGGTTTCAATGCAATAAGTCCGAATCCCGCCTCCCCCTTAAGCACCCCAGTGACGACGAAAAACGAATATCGCGATGGGGAGGGAAAGGAATCGACCCGTCCCGACTGTCTTCGGGATGCGTGGGTCTAAAGCACGCGGACAAGCATGCGTACCCCCCCCCCCCCCCCCCC